ATTCGACATTTGAATGGAGAGAATATCAAGAGACAGAGGCCGTGTGATTTGCACGATTCCAACATAAAGATGAAAATTTTATTTATAAATAATAAATAAGTTAATTCCTTTTGCAAAATTATTTTTGGGCACCACATGCTCTGCTTATATTTTTTTAATTTCTCTCCATATTTTTAAATTGGATTTTTACATCCTACTTGCTTACATTCAGTTAATCTAGCGTTGGATTTTTTTCCGCCATCCTTCACCTAACAGGACTCACGCATCTATTATACTTCTAGAAGATCGAACTAACAACTTGATGGTTCAAAAGGAATTGGGTTAAAGGATCCAGAACAATGTTACGCTGGATGTGTGTGTGTGTGTGTGTGTGTTATTTTTGATCAATTTGATTTTTCAAATGGAGCTGAGGCAAAGTAAATCCTTTCACACCTCTAGGTACCCGCATCGATTGTGATTTCACATGTTACAAATGAAATGCATGAACGAAATTAAACTAAGGTGAAAAAAAAAACAAAAACAAAAAAAACAACAGATGTACACGTACGATTGCTATCGATGATAGCTGGGTTTCCACCACATTTTTTGGGTATTACTTCGGACGTCCATTTTCTGAAAACCACGACCGTTGTCTTCTCAAAACAGATTGATGGAAAAGGGGAAAAAAAACGTCAACGAAACTCCGTATATTTATCATGACACTAGCTCCTGATGAGAGTTAGAAAACTAATTTAAGAATATTAACAAAATTAGTTAAATTGATTATTTATCACAAATACGTGTTGGTTTTCTTAAACTATTCTCTTTAACACATGATGATTGGAACCCCCCTTATGATAAATAGGAATATTTTGAAGAAAAATAAAAAATAAAATGAATTGAGATTTTATATTTATGATCAAATTTAACCTCCAACTAACTATTACATATACTCTGGTCCTATTTATAAGGTAAAAAGAGAGGTTTTTTTTTTTTCTATTTATAAGTCACTTCATTAAATTTTTAGCATGAATATACTATTTCATCCTTCATTTATTCTAGCGTAGATAATTATCTTTTTTGAAAAATGTATGTTAAATAGGGGTAATGTTAGAAAGTTGTTATATTTTAATAGAGAGTTGATACATTTTAAAATTTTTTTTGATCCGCATAAAATATGTTAGAAGTAAACAAATATTTTAGTTTTGAAGAGGGTCATGAATTAGAGATGGAAACTGTGCGTCACGGGCAGGTGTCATGTTTTCCTGGGATTCATATTCAATGCCATCCATATATTACGTTCTCAACATTAATGGCGGCAAAGGCCTAACTCATGTTCTGCGAATTTGTTTCCTCCTTTGGCTTCTTTGTCTATGTTTGCTAGCATAAATATTAATTAAGAAATACAAATACAATTAATATATTAGATTCCCCTTTTAATTTTCTGGTATACTCTTAATTTATTTAATATTTAATCAAGTGCCTACATAATTATCCCTATTACTCCATAATTAAAGTTAGTGAATGCAATAATCTAATTGTAGACAAAAATGATATGGTCCTTCCATCCCTTATCCTTTTAACTAAATTATACGGTTTAAAAAAACATTTAAAATTAATTAAAAGTAATTAATATATAGCAAATATATTTTTTTTTTCAAATACACCGTTATATATAAATGGGTGAATGTGAGAGAGGAATAGTGAGATAAATGAAGAAAGAAAATGTATTAAATTGAAGATAAAATAGGTAATAATGTATTAAATACTCAGATAAACTCAAAAAAGATCTCATAAAAAGGGATAGATCTATTCAAAAAATTAGATCTTTTAATAAGGAACATAGGGAGTATGCTAATGTTGCCTTGGATTTTTAAACTAAAAATAAGAAACAAAATAATTGGAAACGATATTATATATTTGAATGAACTTATGATTTAACACCTTATCATCATAATTCCTACATATTCCATGCTGTAATGCATATTATTGTATATATAATATTTTCGTATGCAGTATCTTATTCTCTTTCTTTGTTACCATTAGATAATATGGCACGCAATTAGTTAGTAATATTTACATTATTGGACCAGGAAAACTTGCAGTATTCTCTCATTTAATTATATATATATGCATATATATGAGGTCATGATACTTTTTATGTTATGGCAACGGAGATTTTTTTTTTCTCTTTAGGCAGATACAGTCATCTATGATGTAATTGCATTTAAAGGCAAAATAATAATAAAAATATTAAATGTTATAAATATTACCAAACTGTACATGACTGCTGTTGTAGAGGAGTTTAGGCCTAACCTTTTTTGGCATATTTCGTGGATAAAATAAACAACGTAACTGTGCATTTAGTTGTGTCAACGTGTTTGTAAACATGTTTTATAGTCTAATCAGTCAGGTCGCAACGCGCCACAACACACACCGTCCATCACATAAGAGAGACAGTGAGGGAGAGAGATTGATCGATGTATAAATTTTTTTATTTAATAAACGTGGGATGGCATTGCATGCAAAGCGAATAAAACGATGACTGAAACGTCAAATGGAAAACTTGATGCAAGACACTGCCCTTTCGGTTTTTAATATAAAACTTAATTATTAAGCTGATTTTGATTTTAAATATAAGATTTATTTTTTATATTTATTAATTTTTTTAAATTACTCTATAAATACTCTCTTAATCATAATCAAATAGAAAAGGGAGAAAGGATATTAAGAAAAATAATTATGGTGTTTTAGAAAAAATATTTCATATTTTTTTATAATTAGCTAACTTATCTAACTTTCTTAATCTAATCAAATTAGTTAAATAGGTCTTATATTAAGGACCGGAGGAATATAATATTTTTTGGTTATGTTATAAAAACATACAACATCTATTTAACTAATTTTGATAAATTAAAAAACAGTTAATTAAACTATTTAGTTGTAAAAAATATCTGTTAATTTATTAAAATAGAGTACACTCTTAAATCATTTGCATTGATTACCTTTATTATGCAAGCTTTCTTAATATGCAACATGATAATAAGGATACTTTTAAAATAAAAAATAAAAACATGATAAATAAAATAAATTGAGGTTTTATATTTATGATTAAACTCAATCTCTTACTAGCTCTTATATAATTATATTAAAAACTGGAGATGGTATACCGAATCGACTTGCTGAGATGAATTGATATGGGGTTGTTCTCCAGTAATAATGATTTGAAGGCACATCGTCATGCATTCATATTAACTTATAATGTATTTAAGATTTATGTTGGTTTCAAAATTTAAAACCGTGCGTCAGGCCGATAGTAAATACTATGTTCGTCCATCGTCCCCACCCACCGCTCCTTATTGTGAGATAGCTAGGTGTAATGTTTTATTTAAGTAATTAAATCCAGTTTGTTTTCCGTATGAGACACTATAATAATTAAACTCAACATGATGAGAATATATTCAATGAATTTTTTTAGGTGGGTTCAATTAATTTTTAATAAAATAAAAAGGTCATATGCCTTTCGGAATCAGAAATTATTCAGAATGCTTTCTTTTGGGCGAATTGAACCTCCATATGCAAATTAATCCAGAAGATCTCATTAATAGCACACATGCGGTTTGTAATTGAATTGAGAATATTACTATTAAGATTGAATAATTTGCTCACGCGTTGACAAATTTTGCATCATTCTCTTTGAAGCGATTAATTAGGATGTCAGAATATCCGATCCATTTCAGGAAAGCGTACAAAGTTAATTACTTGCGAATCGTAATTTTGGAAGTAATACCGTAATGAAGATATCCAATATATACTATTTAGATTTCACGTCAGCTTATTGTAAGGAAGATATCTTTATCCCGTAATTTTCGTTAAACCCTTTTCCTTCTTTTGTTAGGAGTGCCATTTCATTACAATACCATACACACATACACACACACACACAAAATTACCCACCATGCAAGTAAAATTCTTCATCCCATATCTATTTCTTTGTGTGCGTTTGCATGTGTTATTTATATGAAAATGAAAAAAATACGGGGATACTATGAGAAAGAAACAATTACTATAGAAAATAAAAGGAAATTGAATCTTATATTTTGAACAGAATAAAAACTCTAAAATCAACCAAGCAAGAGAATAACATGGTAATAATGTGGATAGGTAAATTGATATATGGTATGGGAACAAAGGGGAAAAAAAACTAAAGGGTTGGTTCGGTAGCCGTCATTCGTTGCACCATCAACTGGATAGACAAAGAAAAAAAATATTGAATCCACCAAAAATATGCTCTCTCTCTCTCTCTCTCTCTCTCAAGAGCAATTACACCTCCTTCGCCCACCATTAAATGCATTTGCACCCTCTCATTACGCTCTGCAATTACTCCTCCTCCTTCCTCACATCGCTCCCTTCTTCCTTCTCTCTCTATCCCTCTTTCCCTTCCTCTCTCATTCTCTCTTCATCATCGTCTTCTTCTTCTTCTTCTTCTATCTACCACTCCCTGGTTGGTGAAATATCTCTGCTCAACCCAGCACTAACTTTTGAATCAGCTTCTCATACTCTTCTAAGATCATCACCTTTCTTTTCCTCTCTCCTTTTCTTTATTAGTAATTCTAATTCTGGCATCTTAAGTTGGTTGCTCTTAAATTGAAGCAGAAAAGTTGGGGCTAGGAGCTGAAAGGTACGGTTGCTCCGCCTGATAGACAAAAGAAGGAGAAGAAAGTCGCTGAGTTGGATTCCTCCAGATCTTGGTGAAGCGAATATATGTATATATTTAGTCCTAATCTGATTTGGATTGATTTTATATCAGAAAATCGTAAAGCGGATATCCGTTTAATTTCTTTCTTGCCTTTTTGTGTTACTATATAATAGCATTTCTTTCGGCTAACGTAACCGTGGCCCGTTTTCGTTTCAGCGGTCAAGTTGATTTCTCGGACTGCGTTTGTCACACTTTTTGGTAATTTCTTGCAGAGATATAAACGAGAACCTCATTAGTCAAGCGGTACTGAGAGACTGAAACGAGCTAGCTAGGGCTTCTGGTCGAGAAATATGCCGGCCGGGATTATGATTCCGGCAAGAAATATGCCCTCGATGATCGGGAGGAACAACAACGTTGGTGGCGGGTTTGGATCATCCTCAGGCCTTTCTCTTGGTCAGGTCGGTGCTTCACTTCTGATTTATTACACCTTTCGATAATTTTGTTTAATAAGACGCTAACTTGATCGCTGCGTCCCTCTGGATTAAAATTTCCCAACTACATAACCAGAAAGTCCCACAGTTTTCTTAGTGCGAAATTTGGTCCCTACGAAGCGGACTGTACCTCGAAAATCCTTTTGGATTCTCGGAAATCGCGCTATATATATCTCTCTCTTTAACTTTTCGTTGTTTGACGTTACCCGCTTCTTGTGATTGGGTTCCAGCCACTAATCTTGTCAATTCTATATCTTTTCTGCCCAATTTTTATCAAATTAAAAAAAAAAAAGGATTTTGTCAAGTAAATAGGCATCTACGTATGCTTAAAAAGTTTTACTTGTTCGCTTGTTGTCTTGAGTGAACTATTTTTCTCGTATTGTTTGTGTTAGATTGAAAAACAATAAGCCTTGGGAATCTTAAAAGCTCTGTTAGAAATGTTCCAGCAGCCAAACATGATGGAAGGTCAGCTCCTCCCAGCACTGGACATGGCTCCAAACACATCAGAGAGCGACATCCCTCGAATCCGAGACGACGATTTCGACACTGCCACCAAGTCCGGGAGTGAAAATCAGGAAAATGGCGCCTCCGGTGACGACCAAGACCAACGCCCCAAGAAGAAGCGCTACCACCGCCACACCCAGCACCAGATCCAGGAAATGGAAGCGTAAGATTATGAGCCAGCTCTCCAATAATAAACGACTACTCTCAGTTCGATAATTCAATGTTAATTATTTATACCCTATTTTACTTGTTCGCAGTTTCTTCAAGGAGTGCCCTCATCCCGATGACAAGCAAAGGAAGGAGCTAAGTCGCGAATTAGGGTTGGAGCCATTGCAGGTCAAGTTCTGGTTCCAAAACAAACGCACCCAGATGAAGGTACGTAATCAAGATGTTGATTCGGGGCAAAATATATTGTTGTAATAGTAATTTATGTAAAGAATATTCTATATATATTGTTCTGGTTTTTGCCTTTTACCTAGTTGCTCGCAAAGTCTTAATGTGATGATTTGCAGAACCAACATGAGCGGCACGAGAACTCGCACCTCAGAGCCGAAAATGAAAAGCTTCGTGCCGATAACATGAGGTACAGAGAAGCTCTTGGCAATGCCTCTTGTCCTAACTGTGGTGGACCAACCGCTATAGGAGAAATGTCCTTCGATGAACATCATTTGAGACTCGAAAATGCCCGCCTAAGAGAAGAGGTACAATAATTTCTTGCCAAATAAAGTAGAACTTCTTCGCCCTCAGATTTTCCTCTGTCTAGAAACTGCTGGACTATATATACGTCTTCTCAATAAAAGTTAACTTCACATTTCAATCATCAAAAGTTTATTCCTTTTATTTTCTTTCAAAATTCCGTGACAAAGTTTTGCTAATTTAGATATTACTGTCATTTACCAAATTTGAACTTGATTAATGGGTGGCCATAATAAGTAAGAAATGAGATGAAAGATTACTATTACAAGTATTTTAATGAATGATAAAGACGGATAAAATATTTTGCAGTGCCACGGGGCAGAGATTAAAAAATTCATCCAGGAAATAGTAAACTTTGGTCAAAAACTTAGTAGTGAAAGTGGCGTTATATCTGATGATTCTGGAATCGGTTGCCTTGATGATGATCAGATTGATAGAATTTCCGCAATTGCTGCCAAGTACGTAGGGAAGCCGGTGGTGAACTATCCGCTACTCTCTCCATCTTCGGTTCCACCTCGTCCTCTAGAGCTTGGGGTTGGCGGTGGTTATGGCGGACAGGCAGGTATTGCTGGCGGCACCGGTGACATGTATGGAGGAGCCGGAGATCTTTTGAGGTCCATAAGTGGACTCACAGAAGCCGATAAGCCGATGATCATAGAGCTTGCTGTTGCGGCCATGGAAGAACTGGTGAGAATGGCTCAGATGGGGGAGCCTCTTTGGATGACCACCCTCGATGGCTCCACCACTGTGCTCAATGAGGAAGAGTACATGAGGTCTTTTCCTCGAGGAATTGGACCTAAACCCAGCGACTTGAAATGCGAAGCTTCACGAGAAACTGCACTTGTCATCATGAATCACATCAACCTCGTCGAGATTCTCATGGATGTGGTATGTATATAAATATATATATGTGTGTGTGCTTTTTAATTTAATTTTCTCTGCTCTTCTGTGGCTTCTCCAATATTTGACCGTTAAGTCGAAGCTAATCACACGGATCGATAATGAAGCATGTGTAACTATCATTGACCCAGAGGAATATGTATATAAGCTCTTTCTTGTCGTTTGCTATAAAAGAGTTCTTCCACACGAAGTGTTTCTATTAAATAACGTAATAGAAAACACTCAATGTACACTACGTTAAGTCTCATTGACGTTATTTTGTTCAGAACCAGTGGTCGACAGTGTTCTCTGGCATAGTGTCAAGAGCAATGACCATGGAAGTACTATCAACGGGGGTGGCCGGGAACTACAACGGTGCCTTGCAAGTGGTAAGCACGATACTACATATGTCCGTGTGTGTGTGTCAAAAGCAAACATGGTATTTATATGTATGTAGTTAAAGACGGAGATCGAGGTTTGATAATTTTGAAATATATTATTGGATATCCACATTATGTTCTGCAGATGACAGCAGAGTTGCAAGTGCCTTCACCTCTAGTGCCAACTCGAGAGAGTTATTTCGTGAGGTATTGTAAGCAGCACGCTGACGGCACATGGGCAGTAGTGGACGTCTCTCTCGACCATCTCAGCACTGCTCCTGTCAAATGTAGAAGACGACCTTCTGGTTGCTTAATCCAAGAAATGCCCAATGGCTATTCCAAGGTAGCAACATATATACATAGTTTACACACACGCACGTATCATCGGACCGTCTCTGATCTTTTCTCAAAGAGCTTTCTCTTTTGTTATTGGTTTCTTTTTTGGGTGCCTTAGGTGACGTGGATTGAACATGTAGAAGTGGATGATAGAGGTGTACATAGTCTATACAAGCAGCTCGTTAGTTCAGGCCACGCTTTTGGTGCAAAACGATGGGTTGCCACCTTGGATCGACAGTGCGAAAGGCTTGCTAGTGCCATGGCTTCCAACATTCCCACTGCTGATGTTGGAGGTATATATATGTATATATAATCAGCCTTGATTAAATCATTGATCGCGAGGTGACAATTAACGTAAATAATTAATCCTCTTTCATCATCGTTTGACTAGTGATAACAAACCAAGACGGGAGGAGGAGCATGTTGAAGCTGGCGGAGAGAATGGTGATAAGCTTCTGTGCGGGAGTGAGCGCTTCCACGGCTCACACATGGACAACACTCTCTGGAACCGGGGCGGACGATGTTCGGGTCATGACCCGAAAGAGCGTGGACGACCCGGGAAGACCTCCTGGTATTGTTCTAAGTGCCGCAACCTCTTTCTGGCTTCCTGTTCCCCCCGAGCGAGTTTTTGACTTCCTCCGTGATGAAAACTCCAGAAGTGAGGTAATACGCACATTATTTACCACAACACTGCAACTTTGTCCCAATTTAAAGCCGATGGACTCTCCAGAGATTAATTCATCCATATTCTGAAAACTTTCGTATTAATTAACAGTGGGATATTCTTTCCAACGGTGGGGTGGTCCAAGAAATGGCACACATAGCTAACGGACGAGATACGGGGAATTGTGTGTCCCTTCTCCGAGTGAATGTGAGTGCGTCGGTCTTCATTTATAAAAGGAATCAAATATTTATTATCTGTAAGTGAAGTCTTACATGCCATGATTATGTATGAACTCTGTAGAGTGCAAATTCGAGCCAAAGCAATATGTTGATACTGCAAGAGAGCTGCACCGACTCAACGGGGTCTTTCGTCATATATGCTCCTGTAGATATAGTAGCCATGAACGTGGTGCTGAATGGAGGGGATCCTGATTACGTGGCACTTCTTCCTTCGGGTTTTGCTATCCTACCCGATGGCACCACGCCTCATGGAGGTGCCATCGTTGAAACAGGCCACGGCGGATCCCTTTTGACCGTTGCTTTTCAAATCTTGGTTGATTCCGTACCCACTGCTAAGCTCTCTCTTGGATCTGTCGCCACCGTCAACAACCTTATTGCCTGCACTGTGGAGAGAATTAAGGCTTCTTTATCCTGCGAAGCTGCTTGATCATCATCAACAATACTACTCTAGAACTAATTAATAAATTAAAAGCCTGGTAAGCTGTGCATGTTTGTTGTGTCCTACGTTGTTTATCTGCATATTTGTTTTCGCTTTTGTAAGAACTAGTCACTGAATCTTGCTGTTGCTGCATCTACGTGGTTTGTTGTGTTTATATGTTAACCCGCGCAGTTTAGAAGAAGGTTAGGTCAAGAGTAGAGAAGAGTATGAAAGAAGAAAAGGGTGGTGGTGATCGATGGGGGCGAATATCGAAGAATGAGGTGAAGTCAAGAACGCACCTTGCATGATTCCTTCTCAGAAACCTATGAAAAATAGAGTGCTCAGAGGATTAAGGTTCGGGAATTGACTTCCCCCAGCCAGCTGGATTAACTGTGTGCTTAATTAAATTAAAAAAAAAAAAAACTGCAAGCATTGGTAGAATTAATTAGTTAGTTTTCATTTCCTTTTTTTTTTTGGGTGATCGGGTAGGTTTTCAATTAACTTCAATGTTGACTCTTTTATTACTTCAATTGTTATTATATGCATGTTTTAGAAATATTAGTTGATAATGGGAAGCATGCCCCGTATCACACACCATTTGTCCCTTTCAAGGGCGTTTGAAATGGAATAACCTTTTCTGCCATGTCTTATTCCCACTTAATTTGTTTATTATTATCATTTCTCTACAAATTAAGCAGCAAGTGTTTGTTATGTAGTCTTTATTAATTAAGGTTTGTTAAGAAAGTTTTCCCCCCCCCAATTATGGCCTGTTGTACGGCTATGAACTTCATCCCAAAATATCGTGGGAGGGAAAATCTGTGACTCCTGGATTAATTATACTGATCAAATTGCACCTATTTAATTGAACTATCGAAGGAACAAACTTGAATAAGCTCCATTATTTGACATTAAATCTGCTTTTCCAGCATTAATTAAGGAAGCGGAAGGCCTGCGGGGGCTGCTAAATGTCGAGGATGTTTTAGGATTGATTGATGAAAATACCGATTATATCACCTTCACGAATACACGACGTCAAGTAATAACTTGAACAGGAATTGCTTTTGGGACGACCCAAAAATTTGACACAATATTCATAATACTCTGCAAATTCCTTTATTCTTAGGCACTGAAAGCCTCTTGCCAACGTTGGAAATAAATATGTGACGGTAATTGACCCTCGTAAACCCATGAACGCGAACTACGTCGTCAACAGCTTATCAGATGCCCTTTTAGAACCCTTCATTTCTGATGAAATGGCAAAAATAGAAGCATCATGTCTCTCACACTAATCTTTTCGTACTAAATAATTACTAGTAATTGCTTTGTTATGCGTTTTATTCTTGATTATATTTTTAACCTCCCCCCCCCCCAAAAAAAAAAAAGACTAGTGTCAATTTGTTCGTCCAAAGGTTTTGTCGTGGCATGCTGGCATCTAGCAAAAGTTGGATTTTGTTCTAATAATTCATCATGGGGAAAAAACAGAAAACAAATAGCCTTTTTGAGAAACAAATACACCGGGCCCAAACTTCAAACAAAAAATTCGCTATTACTATCGACATCATATTTGGATCACAAAAATAACGTTTTCTCGAGTCAGAGTGTTCGCGGCAGGAGCAAGCCATGGCGTGCAGAACAGGGAGCCCAGTGGGCATGGGCTCTCTTCCCATGTACAGGGAAAGGCTCAAATATTTGACACTTATTTATGCCTTACTTGGTAAAAATAGAGGGGTCATCAACGAGATGAGATCTAGCAGAATGACTAATCTCTCATAACATGACAAATCAATGTTTAAATTTTTATTAAAAAAAGTGTTCACATTTAGTGTTTGACAGTACATTAAATAGGATTGTATCAAATAGAAGAATACCTATATTTTAGTCCAAAAAAAAAAAAAGGTAGAGGGGGTGAGACTAGGCCGAGGGGTTTGAACCTGTTAAGAGAAAGAGAGCAGCCATTTGAGAGAAAAGAGAGTCATTTTTATACCTTTGCGGGGCAATCTCGAGATAAATTGATAGTTGCACATTCATTAATCGCTAGATTGAGCTGAAATTCGGTCAGCTGGTTTGAAACATTGAATGCGTCAATTTAACTGAGACTCATTTGTATCTTATTTTGATCATAGTTGAGCTGATTTTCAACGGAAAACGCATGATTTTTACATGCGCTTGGATTGATGGGTGTTGCCGCTGTGTTATTTTCATTTGACGTCTTCATCACAGTTCCGCGCTATTGAGAAGAAAATCTCTGCTATCTAACTCGAAGTTTGACTTGCAGATATTTGACCTGTAGAAATTCCACGCCGACTTCTGAGTGAAAAACGAGAGAACAAGGCATTTCATCAGATGGACCTCTGTGTGTGTGTGTGGAAGGCAAGCACATGAATATCAGCTTTCATTAGTTTTCTTGTAGTTTGGGGGGGGGGACCAAAATCAATAATAAAACGCAGAACAAAGCAACTACTATTAGTTATTTAGCATGAAATGATGATCAGTATGAAAGACTCTTTGCTTCTCTGTTTTGCCATTTTATCAGAAATGATACGTTCCAGAAGGGCATTTGATAAGCTGTTACGTTGATGATGCGGTTCCCTTTCATAGGCTTAAACTTTAGGGTTTTAGCAATACTACGACGGCTACGAATTGTGTCAAATCCCTCTGTTGTAGAAGGAATTCCTGTTCATCACCCCCTTTTAACAAAAAAATTATTATCTCCGTTATAGTAGTATAAGAGCTAATTAATTAATTTGAAATATTAAAAAAAAAGTTAAACTAATTATTTGTAATAAATAAATATTATCTTTTCTAAAATACCCTTGCTAATCAAGTTTACTGGCTATAAATACCATTATTAGAAGGACTATCTTGAAAAAAATGAATAAATATGAGAGACAAAATAGATTGAGATATTATATTTAGGAACAAAATAAAAATCAAATGAGTCTTATATTAAAGGTCGGGGGTAGTATTTTATATAGTTTAACATATAGATGTACGTACATATATCAACGTTAGATTTGAAGTTAAGACTTTATCCAAACGAAACGATTGGCATTAGCATTATCACAATTTGCGGTAGACTCCTGTCAAACGTGCTTGAACTAGTATATCTGAGGGCCTGAGCATTGCCTACTTTAAGCCAGAGACAGATCTTGTAAGGAATAAATTTTGGTCTATTTCAAAACGCTGACCAAAACAATTACTAGTGTTCATCAATTAGCATGAAAAGATCATGTCCACAGATTTGTGGAGTGGCTTCACTGGTTTCATCTTCAGGAAATATGTTTTTTTATTCTCTTTTTTTAGCTGTTTCGAGGTTGCTATTTTATCAGAAATGCCATGTTCCGAGCATGGCATATTAGTGTCTAACAAAAGTTGGATTTTGTTTTAAAATCCAAAAAAAAAACCCGACCTTTTTTTCTAAAATTTGCCTACCAAAAAAAGAAGGTTGGATTTTGTTTTAAACAAATAATATTTTCATAAACAAACACACCGCTAGGCTCAGTGTTCCAACAAAAACTACGCTATAACTATTGATGTCATCTTTGGAGCACCAAAAATAAAGTTCAGGCACCAAGAATAATTAGGCACCAGGGATATGCCCCGCGCGCCCCTTTTATTATAACTATTAAAATATATTCATATTAAAAATTTTATACATTTATACTTCCTTTCGTATTTAATATTAATCAATAATCATATTCTACAAGAGTTTCTTGATTTTAAATATAAATCAGTTCAGGAAATGTCTGTCACATTAATTATTTTCTGTAAGCCCCTCGTTTGGAATTAAAATAATTATCATAATACTAGGAGTTAATGTCATTAATATATTAGAATAATGGTAGAAAGTACTAGAATTTTCTTATAAATTTAATAATTTAACCTATTTTTTAACTTTTTATTTGATATTATCATCCGATATCCGACGCTTTTCATTTACCTTATTATTAAGTATACAAGCAACTGATTATTAGGTTGATGAATCTAGGCATATTGACACATCACATTTGGAACCGGTTATTTTCCAATTTCCATGCAAGGGAAATTAAGTAATCTATTTTCTTTCTCATTTGGTGCAAGATAAAATTGAAAAAATGATGGGAAACACTTTATCAAACAGTTCCAAGCAATCAATCCTACGTACAACAAGTCAAGGCAACAGCACAAAGCAAACACTGACAATTTTTTTTGTTTTTTTATGTAATACAATTAAACACAAAAAATCACAAAAACATGCTAACGGCAGGTGACAGGTGTGACAATGCTTTCACCTTACAGGCCTTTTCAAATCCATAGAAGAGAGACCAATTACTTCAACTTCAAACGTGCTTTTTGGTGGACGCTTCAGGGCTCATGCCAAATATGGAATGAGATGGCAAACCTCGCAGAGCTGCTACCACTCCTAAACCTATGAGAGGGATGTATATTGACATCAGCTTAGAAGATTTCTCTCCTGCAGCCAACATTTCTGGTAGTACAGCAGTCTGAAACGCACAGTTTATAAAATCAATCAGAAAATGAGAACACAGAAAAACCAGATCTTGCATGAACACCAGAAAAAGTGCTACTCATCATACCATTGCAGTACACACAGCAACACCGTAGATCAAGCAAGTGGTTTTGAACCAGGGTTTGGCAGTCAAAATGGCGTAAAGATTGAGGACAATGATTGGCACATCAAAGAGGAACTCATACCAGATGAGTCCAACGAAGAAAGGGGGCCGTTCTCTCAACAGATAGTGATCATACCGGTCGACGTACCAATTCTTGAGTTGGACAAGGAAATGAGGGAAGGGAGCTTGAGGGAGAAGGACTTGAGTGTATATAAGTACACATGCCACTGCTACTACAAGCATGCCAGAGAACAGGAAGGCATCTACCGCTTTTTTCCACAGAGCCCATTTTCCCTGGCACTACTCTGATCTAGTGATAAAGTAAGGCTTACAAATTCAGTATCTGAGATCGTGCTTTTCTTGCGTATGCTTATACTCTTTCTTTCAAGCTATAGATTGATAAGTTGTGAATTTCACACCTAACTCTAAGTT